ACTGTTTCAATTTATATGATATTGTATGATTGAGTACGGAGCTTAAAGAAAGAGATGAAGAACTTTTTTTAAACTTGTGGTTTTAACTATTCCATTTGGTTCAATTTAGATGACACATTTTCCTTATTAGTCCGTTCCAAAAAAAATAATACATTTCTATAATTGGAAATAATTCAACGTTAAATTCTTCATTTTACCCATTTTATCTTTAATGAGAAGCTTTTATAACCACACAGATGTCATGGCCCCACAAAATTCTTAACCCTTAAGCTCTTAAGACCACAAGTTTCAAAAACCTTTTTTGTTTCTTAAACTCCGTGTCGAGTCAAACTATCTCATCTAAATTGAAATGGAGGGAGTATGTCATCACTTTTGTGTGGACATAAAAAGTTTCAAACTTATGATTTTAAGCATGTCATAAATTTATATGGCTATAAAAGTTTGTCACTAGACAAAATGGGATATTCAAGTTAAATTTTTCTTGACGTTAGGAAAGTGCATTGTTTTTTTAACGGACTAATAAGAAAATAGTATCACTCTTTTTTGAATTGAGGGAGCAGTTCTATGTTTGCTCTTTGGGTTCAAACCTGGATTGGACTTATTACCTAAGTTGCACAGACTCTTTATTTTTTATGCGTGGGTGCGGTATAAGTTTGGGATTCGGTCAACAAACTTCGGATATTTTGACTGGATTCGATAGAAAAATTTGGGAAAAAATTTGAGATTTTAATTTCTCAAATAAAAGATAAAACAGATTTAAGATACGGGAAATAGCATACCTTCACTATTATAGTTCTTTTGTCTCATATTTGTTGTTTCAATAAAAATTTAGAATATCTTTATAGATCTATATTTATAATTTTGAATTTTCTTAGTCGAATCTGAACAATCAGATCCATACCCGGATACGCACCCCCCTCCCCTCGACCCCCGAATATTAAAATTTAGATTTTATCGAATCCGACTTTTGAATCTATACTCTGTATCGGATATCTGCACCGAGTCTGACCAAATTAGCTTATGAGTAATTCATCCCTCTTACCAAAGTTTGACTTAATAGATATAAATTGCCGAGTCTTGTTTTTCTCTTTTTCTGCCTTTTTGTTTTTTCTTTCTTTTGCAGGAGGCAGTTTGATCACCTCTATTTTTTTAATCTCACTTAATACTTTTAAAAGTTGAATTCGAATTGTTCTTCATCAGCTTATAGTAATTTGTTACTAACTTATACGAAAATTATGTGGAATATTAATAATGTTATAGATAAGGAGGACTTTATGCATGATAGACAACGCAGCTGTAATTTTAATTGAATAAACTATTTTGAGTTGCATTGTTCTAGCAATGAGGTTGTTAGTAACTTATTTGCTCAAAAAAAGATTCAAAGCTACATATATTTAATACCTTTTATATGATAAAGAATATGGTTCAACTTGTTTCGTTATCTTAAGTGGAAAAGGTCAAGATACATTGAAAAGGAGCAAGGCAGAGCAAAAGAAGCAAGATCTGAGAGCTGTTTAAAATTTAAATGTTCCTAGTTGCCAAGCTTAATTAAATAGTCCTAGTTGCCATAAGTGCACAAAATAATGCTGGAATTTTCGTTAAACAATTTCACATCTTACTACGGTGTAATCACAATTTTTGTTAGTAAATATGTATATATAAAACAGAAAAGGGTTGAAAATACCCCTAAACTATTGGAAAAGGTTTAAAAATACCCTTCATCCACCTATTGAGCTAAAAATACTCCTCCATCCACTTTTTTGGTTCACTTATGCCTTTTGACCGTTAGGTCAATGCTAAATTAAAAATAATTATTATTCTTTTTATAAAAAACTTAAAAAAAATATTTTGTTAAATATTTTTATTTTTTAAACTAATGAACCAATAGTCCACTAATTTAGTAAAGTCTTCTTATTTTTTTCAGTTTTTACAACAAAATTTTTTTTCATTTTTTCCGTTTTTTAAAGCATTTTTTTTGTAAAACCTGAAATTTTTTGTAAAAACAGAAAAAAATGTTTTTAATATAATATTTTCATTTTTGAAAAATATATTTTTTTTCATTTTTTTATGTTTTTTAAAGCATTTCATTTTATTTTCGTTTTTTAAAAAAACTGGAAAAAAATATTTTTCAAAGACGAAAATATTTTGTTAAAAATATTTTTTTCAGTTTTTAAAAAACGAAAATATTTTATTAAAAATAATTTTTTTTTCTGTTTCTACAATTTTTTTCAGTTTTTACAAAAAAATACTTTAAAAAACTGAAAAAAACAGAAAAAAAATATATTTTTGTAAAAACTGAAAAAAGAAGAAGAAGAAGACTTACTAAATTAGTGGACTACTGGTGCATTAGTTTAAAAAAAATAAAAATATTTTTTTAAAGTTTTACAAAAAGAATAATAATTATTTTTAATTCAGCATTGACCTAACGGTCAAAGGGCAGAACCAAAAAGGTGGATGTAGGGGTATTTTTAGCCCAATAGGTGAATGAAGGGTATTTTTAAACCTTTTCCAATAGTTTAGGGGCATTTTGAACCCTTTTCCGTATATAAAAAATAGATAAAAAAGACAGCGTCAGCGATTAATAAGACTAATTTTCTCTGTTTTGCATGCCAGATATTGATGAATGTGCAGATCCAAATGCTAATTCTTGTGAAAAAATCTGCATAAACACGCCGGGGAGTTACAATTGTTCTTGTCCAGAAGGATACACCGGTGATGGCAAAAAAAATGGTCGTGGCTGTATTGCGCCAAGCTCAAACTCTGAATTCCCATGGATTAAGTTTTCTGTAGGTAAGTTTCCCCAGAAAATTAAACTTGTCTCTACTCACATATAGTACAGAGTATCTTCAAAGTTAGGAAATCACTAGAAAAGATGCAATTTTCATCTTTAGTAACTATTGATTATGATGTTGTATATTTCTCCAATCTTTAGAGACGCCCGTCCCAGTAACAAAAAGTGATATAAAAAAGAATTAAAGAAAGAGACAGAACAGGCAAACTGATACCACACTGTAAAGGATCATACATGTCCATTCTCTTAGATCATGAAGCTCCTTGATCCCTTTATGTCTTTAATCCGTCCAAATAGCTAAAATCCAATAAAGAGGGATTTAATTTTATTTTTTTATATATATACAAACACAGGTATGGGAGTAGGTTTTATGTCCCTAGTGGTTGGGACAACTTGGCTCTATTTCAGCATCAAGAAAAGAAACCTCATTAAACTTCGGGAAAAATTCTTCCAGCAAAATGGTGGTTTGCTCTTGAAACAACGGATCTCTTCCGACGAGGGAGGTGTGGAAGCAGCCAAAATTTTCACCGCTGAAGAGTTGAAGAAGGCTACAAACAACTATGCCAATGATAGAATTCTTGGTCGCGGTGGAAATGGAATTGTCTATAAAGGTATTTTACCTGATAATCACATAGTTGCGATTAAAAAATCTAAGTTTGTGGACGAGGATCAAGTTGAACAGTTCATCAATGAGGTACTTATTCTTACCCAAGTCAATCACAGAAATGTTGTGAGACTCTTTGGATGTTGTTTGGAAGCTGAAGTTCCTTTACTGGTCTATGAATACGTTTCTCATGGAACTCTTTATGAGCATATCCACAATCAAAATGGAGTGCCTTGGTTATCTTGGCAAAATCGGCTAAGAGTTGCTACTGAGACAGCAAGTGCACTTGCATATCTTCATTCATCCGCGGCAATGCCTATAATTCACAGAGATGTCAAGTCTGCCAACTTATTATTGGATGATGTTTACACTGCAAAAGTGGCAGATTTTGGAGCTTCCAGATTAATCCCTCTTGATCAAACACATCTCGCTACATTGGTTCAAGGGACATTAGGGTACTTGGATCCTGAATATTTTCGCACAAGTCAACTGACTGAGAAAAGTGATGTTTATAGTTTCGGAGTAGTCCTTGCAGAACTTTTGACAGGAATGAAACCTATTTCGAGGGACAGAAATGGCGAGGACAAAAATTTGGCGGAGTATTTTGTTTTGTCCATGAGAAAGAATCAATTGTTTCAAATTCTTGATCGCAGAGTAGTAAGGGAAGGGAGCCTCGAGCAACTTCAAAAGGTGGCTGAGCTTGTGAAGAGTTGCCTTCAACTGCACGGAGAAAATAGGCCTACGATGAAAGAAGTAGCAATGGAACTTGAAAGTTTAAGAAAGTTCACCAAAAATAACCCTTGGCCTAACGGACATGGACATGAAGAGAATGAAGATGAAGTATCAGATCTTTATACAATTCCAATTGATTCTAATACAGGTATCAACAATTTCTCTGGACAATATAGTTCCAACTCCAACACAAATAGCAGCAACTTTTCTGGACAATATAGTTCAGATAGTTCTTCATTGATATATAGTACTCCTAATACAAATAGCCCATTGATCCAAAACAGAAGGGCAATATGATGATTGATGAAGATTTTATGCTCCTTTCGTCCTCGTCTTTCTTCAATGTTGAATTTTCTGATGTAATTTTTTTTGCTTTTAATTTGTACCTTTCTCTTTGAATTTTGGTTTGCATATATAGAATACTTTTCCGTCGAGGATTCTATTGCCTTGAGAGTCAAATTCCTACCTTTTATGTATATTGTTTCTCGTTTTATTAATGAGAAAGTTTGTTGTTTATACTATTATTGTATATTTATATTTCTCCTCACTTTCCTAGCTAAAATGTTGTCAAGAAAACAAATTTGTCGTCCTGTTTTCTATGATTTTGGTTATTGTAAACTGCATCAACTCTGTAAGAGCAGACACCAAATAAGTTGATGAATTGCTGTAACAAATTATAAACTGAAAAGGAGTTACCCAAAAATGAGAGACCTTAATTAGATCAAGCAAACACATCTTCGTATTCCTAAATCGAACATAAATCAACTTACTTTTCAATAAATAATTAAAATGATATACAAAGATACCATAAACAACAAATTTTTCTCATATAAAAATGAAAAACAACACATTTGAATCATAAGTTTAGTCGGACTTTGACTCTCAAGAGAAAAATACAAATCAAAAAGCAAACAAAATACATCAGAAAATTCAATATTAAAGAAAGACGCGAAGGCAAGAACATACAACTGCAGAAAATCTTCATGAATCATCATATTTTTTAGCTTTCTGGTTTAGATCACCGTGGGATATTTTTGTTAAACATCACTGAAGAACTATCCAAACTATATTGATCGAAAAAACTGCTACTATTCGTGTTGGAGTTGGAACTATGTTGTCCAGAGAAGTTGTTGGCGCCTGTATTAGAGTCAAAGTGAATTGTATAAAGATCTGAAATTTCATCTTCATTTTCTTCATGTCCATGTCCGTTAGGCCAAGGGTTATTTTTGGTGAACTTTCTTAAACTTTCAAGTTCCATCGCCACTTCCTTCATAGTAGGCCTATCTTCACCATGCAAACTAAGACAACTCTTTACTAACTCAGCCACCTTTTGGAGTTGCTCCAGGCTTCCTTCTCTTACCACTCTGCGATCAAGAATTTGAAACAATTGATTCTTTCTCAAGGATAAAACAAAATACTCTGCCAAATTTTTGTCCTCGTTATTTTTGTCCCTAGAAATAGGTTTTATTCCTGTCAAAAGTTCCGCAAGAACTACTCCAAAACTATAAACATCACTTTTCTCAGTCAATTGACTAGTGCGGAAATATTCAGGATCCAAATAACCTAATGTCCCTTGAACCAATGTAGCAAGATGCGTTTGATCAAGAGGGATTAGTCTTGAAGCTCCAAAATCTGCCACTTTCGCAATATAAACATCATCCAATAATAAATTAGCAGACTTGACATCTCTGTGAATTATTGGCATTGCCGCAGATGAATGAAGGTAAGCAAGTGCACTTGCTGTCTCAGTAGCAACTCTTAGCCGATTTTGCCAAGATAACCAAGGAGCTCCATGTTGATTGTGGATATGCTCATAAAGAGTTCCATGAGAAACGTATTCGTAAACTAGTAAAGGAACTTCAGCTTCCAAACAACATCCAAAGAGTCTCACAACATTTCTGTGATTGACTTGAGTAAGAATAAGTACCTCATTAATGAACTGCTCAACCTGATCCTCGTCCACAAACTTAGATTTTTTAATTGCAACAATGCGATTATCAGATAGAATACCTTTGTAGACAATGCCATTTCCACCACGACCAAGAATTCTATCATTTGCATAGTTGTTTGTAGCCTTCTTCAACTCTTCCGCTGTAAAAACTTTTGTTGTTTCCACACCACCCTCGTCAGAAGATATTCGTTGTTTCAAGAGAAAACCACCATTTTGTTGAAAGAATTTTTCCCGAAGTTTAATGAGTTTTCTTTTCTTGATGCTGAAATAGAGCCAAGTTGTCCCAACTACTAGGGACATAAAACCAACTCCCATACCTGTGTTATTTATAAGAAAACATTTAACCCTTCTTTACTGTACTAGAAAGAGTGGGGATTTAAGCTATTCGGACGGATTAAAAACGTAAAGGGGCCAGGGCAGGGGCGAGGCCACCTTTTTCAAAGTGTGGTCTGACCACCCTTTGCCAAAATATATTATAAAAACGTACACTGTGTATATAAGTAAAATATTGATTTTAAATGTATAAAACATATATTGAACACCCTTTGTCGGAAAATTTTATTTACTTCTTCCAAGTCTGAATACCCTTGAAAATATTTCTGGTTTTGCTTGGATAGGGGCTTCATGATATAAGAGAAGAAACATGCATGAATATTGGCAACTTGTAAATATTATACATATACTATCCTTTAAAGTTATGAGCTATTGAGCTGTACTTTCATCTATTCTTTTTGTAAACTAATTCAATGTCTAGTGATTTCACAAGATAAGCATTTGACTTTTGACGGAAAATATTATATTCCCACTAAAGTTTGTTTACAACGAATAATTATGGAATCCGTGTTTATGCTAGTCAACATCATTCTTGGCTATAGAAGACTAGGTGATCAGGACTATGATACAAATACTTTTGGTTCTTATAGAAGATGAAAAATTCTTGTGCAACAAAAATACCACTTATATGGAGCATGTATCACAAAAGAAATACTTCATATATCTCAATTTATGTGAAGGTGTTTGACTGGGGAGTTTAAGAAATAAATGAGGATTTTTTAAACTTGTGATCTACAACAAATATAGAAATTTATGTGGCTAGAAATATCTTATTAAGGGTAAAAGAAAAATTTTAAAATTAAAAATATTACTATTAAATATAGAAAGGTGAAAGAATGTTACATAAATTAAAATAGTTCTACAGAAACTCAAGTTGGTCTACGATGGAAATAACAAAAAATATAGAAAGGCGTGGAATTTTTTCATATTTACTTGTGCTATCCGTTTGCCGGTTCTGTCCCTCTCCTTTACTGTAGTGAAATATCCAATGCCATAATAATAGTTAAAAACAAAATTTGCATCTTTTCTAATCATTTCATAACTTAGAAAATACTATATTTACTATATGCGATTAAAGACAAGTACAGTATATGAGAAACTTATACCTACAGAAAATTTGATCCATGGAAATTCAGAGTTCGAGTTCGGTGCAATACAGCCACGACCATTCTTTCTGCCATCACCGGTGTATCCTTTTGGACAGGTACAATTGTAACTCCCCGGCATATTTATGCAATTTTTTTCACACGAATTGGTATTTGGATCTACACATTCATCAATATCTGGCGCACAAAACAAAGAACATATAGTCACATTAATCCATGATGCTTCAACACCCAAGAGTATGGCCGGCCAGTCAATCAAGTGGGATGAAAGACCATATATATTCAAATTCTAATAGTGGCAAAAAATACTAGGTAATTTCTTTTTTACTTAAAAGTCTCATGGACAAAGTTATCTGTTACTTGTGCTAGTGGATTAAAAAAAATAATTCCTGATAATTGTCCTTTTTATTTTTCTTTTTCACATATTTAATTGCAGAAGAAGCTGTGAATATATATACATACATACATATATATATACATACATACATACATATATATATATATATATATATATATATATATATATATATTTGTGTGTGTGTATCCTAAAGTAAGACCTGAATTTGTTTAATGAAAGTTCCAGCATTATTTTGTTCAGTGGCAACTAGGAGTATTTAAATAGCGTTATTTCTTTTACAATATTTCTTGGTCCTTTCCACTTACCATGATGAGACAAATTGATGTTGAATCGTATTTTTATCATATAGCTTAAATAATTTATAACTAAGCAACATTTATAGAGCTTTGAATCTTTAAACAATACTTAATAAATAAGTTGGTGGCAACCTCATTGCTAGACCGATTCACCTCAAAATAGTCAACTAAATTTTTTATGAAAAAAATATGATACATTCATGCCTAGATAATCAGGATTTGCAAATATGAAGAGTGCTGGGAGGATGGGAATCCACTATCTGCAGAAATTACATTGTGTTGCTCATATTCCAAAAACTTTAGTACAAAAAAAGACAGTCGTGTTACAGAGGACTCCTCTAACGCTACCAGAGGTGGAGATAAGGGCAACTTTGTCCATTCCTAAACCATTTTAGGTTTGAAATTAGAAACTTTAGCGCGTTACTAACAATATTAATATTTGTGTAGGATTTTTATAGTACATAAGTGTTTAATTTATAAATACAGGGGTGTATTTGAATTTGAGTGATGTTATAGGAGTGTTTACGGTGATCAAACTACTATTGTTTGATCCAAGATTGAAAATTGACTCGAAAGAGGAAATAGACAACTACTACTGATTCACCACAGATAGTCTTAAAAAAGAAAAATTGCCAAATACAAAAGGAAGTTCAAAACAATGCGTGAAAGTTGAAATCATGTTACCTTGGCAGCCTGAGCCGATGTATGGATTGCCTTCATATCCCGAGTTACAGCTGCAGCGATAGCCCCCGATATCATTGTCAGAATCAACACACTGGCTATTATCCAGGCATGCATAATCGTTACGTTTTTGTGCTTCAACACAAGTAACATTTCCGATAGCCCAATCTAGCACAATGGGAACATTATCCTTAATCTTTTTGAAAAAATTGAGATCACTGAGATCCTGTAAACCCTTGAATTCGAAACGACTCGCCTCACCAAGAAATGCGTAGCCACATTTACTATACGACCAAACTGCAGTGTGATTTAGTTTCGAGCTTTGCATAGATGTGTTGAAATATTTCAAGCCTTTTGGTATTGTTATTTGGCAGCAACCAGCACCCATACATCTTCCCTCAATTACATCACCGGAGGTAGTACAGACAGTGGGGCAACCATTACCGAAGTCGTCTCCAACTATTATAGCAGCTTCATCACATCCAACGACGGAGAATCTGCATAATGAGATCGCAAGATTATTACCAATTTGTTTACTTGACTCAACGTACTGAACTCGAAATGACTCATCAAATTATTGGGTCAAAACAAGCCAAAGTAGTGTAACCCATTAGGTCAATTGTAACCAAATCCAAACATACCTAAGCTAGAATAGAAGTAAGGTTCTTGTTGGAGTGCTGAGTAATGACTCGTTATTTGACTTAAGCAAACTTTGGGCAGGTCGGATCATAGCTCATTTATTGATTTGACATATTTTGATTCACTCAAGGTTTTTCTAACTCGCCCATTTGCCATGTGTTATTTGTTATAGTATATGTGAACATTCTTAATTAAGTACCTGTTCAGGGAAGAGAAACTGTAAGGACTCGAGCTTCCTAAAGTCATCCATGCAGGTTGATCTAGGATCAAAACTCCAGTAGATGAGTAACATCTCCGATTTAAGACACTTGATATGCGCATTTCAGAGTCGGAGATGTCATAGATTTTGATGTTCCCTAGAAGTGGCGTCGGAGAACCTGTTGTTTTAGTGTCACAGTTGATTTCGAAACTTGGGTCTATGGCACAACCTGATCCTAAACCAATTCCAAATGGATATGGAACTGTAAGATTTCCACACTGTTTTTGACATCCTGGTTTTGTAATATTGGCAGCTTTTGTTATGGTGGTTGTGGGGGTGGGGGTGTTGGTGGGTGGTGGGCTGGTGTTTGTAGCCGGTGGGCTGGTACTGGTAGGTGGTGGAGTGGTGGTAGGAGGAGGAGGAGGAGGAGAAATGGTAATAATTTGAGCAGTGGCTAATGTCAAGATTAGCACAAATGAAAAGAAACAGGGAAGTTGGAAAGAAAACAGAGGAACTTGCTTATGCTGCATGGTTTTGAAAGATAATGTAAGAGAACGTATTCAAAGGTTTCATATATAGAACTACGTAAAAAATGACCTACCATCAAGGAATTTAGTGGAACCCAAGATCTTTAACAAGAGCTCCTATGTTCAGAGTCCTAAAAATAAAATAAAAAATTATTGGAAGCGCGAAATTGAATTAACCGGGGTTTCAGTGAGCATTAAAATACCAAATAGTTATAAAACAAAGTTATTCCACCTGGCTAAGCTAGAAAAATAGATTAGATATAAATTATAAAGAAATGACTTGAAAAACAAAAATGAAACAGTAAAATAGTGGGTATTAATCATATTCAGTATAATATCATACTACAATTTTGTTTTCTTTTTCTGATAGTGCGAATGACAATGAGGCATGACTATGGAAGAATCTCGACGACGGTGACAACAGTAGTTTTGTTTCTTTTTAATAACGTGCCCACCAAAGAGCAAACCCTTTGAAAAAATCAAAGTCGACGAGGAATCATTAAAACAAATGTCAGTGGTCTATTAGCTGGGTGGGGTCTTAAGATGATAATGTGTGCACAGACCTTACTCTTATTTTGTACAGGTAAAAAGACTGTTTCGTAGATTTTTGGCTCAAAAAATAAAATAACGAAAAAATTATGTTGAAAATTATGAAGACAAGAACACTAACAACGGCAAAATAGCACGCAATGAGTAAACTTAAACAAGAAAAAACAATGGATAGTAATAAAAATCAAAGACTAAGATAATACGAGAATAATAATAATAATAATAATAATAATAATAATAATAATAATAATAATAATAATGATACGAAAACATGACTGTCACGACCCGGATTTCCCACCCTCGGGAGTCGTGATGGCGCCTACTAGTACGAGCTAGGCAAGCCAATCCTTTAAACTAATTACTTCATTATCCAATTATTTTTTTTAACAAACATAAAGCGATAACGCAATAACAACTGAAATTTAAATTTAAGCGGAAGGAAATAATAAAATATCTGAAATCTGTATCTATTACAACTGTTGAAGCCTTATCACCCAAAACCTGGTGGCACAGTACCACAGACAGTCAAAGACTGCTAAATACAAGGTCTGAAAGTAAAAGACACACTGTTTCTGAAGCAAAAGATGAAACAGGAAATAAAAGATGGAGGAGACGCCAGGGCCTACGGACGCCTGCAGGTCTACCTTGGATCTCCGCGTGGACTGATGGTAGCCTCCAACTACGGTCCAAGAGTTGCTCCGGGATCTGCACATAGTGCAGAGTGTAGTATCAGCACAACCGACCTCATGTGCTGGTAAGTGCCTAGCCTAACCTCGGCAAAGTAGTGACGAAGCTATGACCAGACTACCAAATAAACCTGTGCAGTTATATAATATACAGCGAAAAGTGAAGTAGAAATAAACAAGTAAAGATGGGAGAGGGGAAACATGCTTCGGGGAATAACAGGTAAAAACAGAATACCAAGAGAATTATAAAGGAACCCAAAATCCAACTACTAACAAGGATAAGGAAAACAAAGGCAGAATTCACTTTCATTTCACATCTTGTTGCAGGAGTGCAACCCGCTCCCATTTCATATATCTCGTTGCAGGATTGCAACTCGATCCCATTCCAAATATCTTGTGGAAGGCGTGTCACCCGCTCCCATTTCAAATGTCTCGTGGCAGGCGTGCCACCCTGGCTCCCATTTAAAATATCTTGTGGCAGGCGTGTCACCCGCTCCTATTTCATATATCTTGTTGCAGGCGTGCCACCCGCTCCCATATCAAATATCTCGTGGTAGGCGTGTCACTCGCTCTCATTTCATTTATCTTGTGGCAGGCGTGCCACCCGCTCCCATGTTACAAATCAACAACAATCACAAAGAATCCCGGTAAGGGAACAAGAACAATATAACAACTTCCCGGCAAGGGAACATTAATATTTCAATAACATCATGGCAAGGGAACAATGATATTTCAACAGTATCCCGGCAAGGGAACAATGATATTTCAACAATATCTCGGCAAGGGAACAATGATATTTAAACAATATCCCGGCAAGGGAACAATAATATCAAACAAACGTCCTGGCAAGGGAACAATGATGATAATAACATGAGGCACAATAAACCACAACGGAATCATAACAATTATAATACAAGACCCACGTGCATGCTTGACACGACGTATAGATACTCGTCACCATGCATATACGTCGTACTTCACAATTAACACGTAGCAAATAAGACACAACTCCTAATCCCTCAAGCTAAGTTTAGACCAAATACTTATCTCGATGCCACGAACACAATTCAAGCCTCAACTATCGTTTTACCTCTTGATTCCACCACCAACTCGCTCGTATCTAGCCACAAGTTACTTAATTATATTAATAAATGCTAAATGAATCAACCCCAATGCATGAAAATGAGTTTTCCAAAATTTTACCCAAAAAGTCAAAATTTGTCCCTGGGCCCGCATGGTCAAAACTCGAGGTTCGAACCAAAACCCGATTAACCATTCCCCCACGAACTCAAATATATAATTTGTTTTGAAATCGGACCTCAAATCGAGGTCCAAATCCCTAATTTTTGAAAAACCTAGGTTCTACCCAAAACACCCAATTTCCCCCATGAAAATTATTAATTTTGAGTTGAAATCATGTTAGAAGATGTTAAGGATTGAAGAAAACTAGTTAAAAACGACTCACAATTGATTTGGAGAAGAAAAAGCCTTTGAAAAATCGCCCCAGAGTGTTTATGTTTTAAGAGGATATGAAAATGGGTTAAAAATTCGTCTAAGCATAAAAGTTGCAGGTCGTAAATGTGGGAATTGCGAACCCCGACCTCTGTTGGCTTGGGAATTGCGAAACAGGGCTCGCATTTGCAAACCCTTCAGGAAATTTAGGATTTCGCTTTTGCGATCAGAAATGTCGCATTTGCGACTTCAAGCATTTCCAGCATACATCGCATTTGCGAAGGCACCCTCGCATTTGCGAGGTCGGAATTGCGAGGAACATCTCACATTTACGAGGAAGGGCAGGCCTGGGTTGGTTCGCATTTGCGACCAAGCCCTCGCATTTGCGAGCCAAGCTTCGCAAATGCGAAGCCTGCAGGCTTGATCATACTAGCAAAAATCCTCCAATTTTCTAAGTTCAAAATGTACCCCGTGGCCTATCCAAAACTCATCCGAGCCCTCGAGGCTCCAAATCAAATATACACCCAACCTCAAAAACATCCAACAGACTTATTCGTGTAATCAAATCACCAAAATAACATCATGAACATCGAATTAAACCTCAAGATCAATGAAATTTCTCAAAACTTCTTTAAACATCAAATTTTGCATTCAAGGTCTGAATCACGTCAAATGGATTTCGTTTCTTACCAAACCTTATCGACGACACATATAAATCATATTGAACTTGTACTAGGCTCCGGAACTATAATACGGTCCCGATACCACAGGTTTCATATAACATTTCACTTTCAAAAACCTATATATTTATCAGAAAATAATTTCTTTCAAAAATTCATTTATGGGGCTTGGGACCTCGGAATTCGATTCTGGACATACGTCCAAGTCCCATATTTTCCTACGGACTCTCCAGGACCGTCAAATTACAGGTCCGGGTCCGTTTATCCAAAACGTTGACCGAAGTCAAATTAATTCATTTTATAGTCAAAATTTATCATTTTCACAGATTTTCACATATAGGCTTTCCGGCTATGCGCCAGGACTGCGCACACAATCGAGGTGATGCTAAAAGAGGTTGTTGAGGCCTCGGAACACAGAATTCATTTTAAAAACAAGTGATGACCTTTTGGGTCTTCACAATGACACAGATATGGTGACCCAAACTCGACTACCTACTAACTTCTACCCTAATCCTCGACCTTCATATCTTTCTATCTAGGGTCATGTCCTCCATAAGCTGAAGATACATGTGTCATGTACTGTCTAATCACTTCTCCCAAATATTTCTTTGGCGTATCTCTACATCTTCTCAGACCCCACAACAGTCAACTACTCATACCTCCTCACTGGGTATCGTGCATCTCCTCTTTACATGCCTGAACTATCCAAACCTCGCTTCTTTCATCTTGTCAACCAACGAGGTCATTCCCATCTTGTCCCGAATATCTTTGTCCTAATTGTATCTCTCCTAGCTAGTATGCTCATACATCCATCTCAGCATCCTCATTTTCGCTGCTTTCATTTTTTAACCGTGAGAGTTAGGGCTGCTCGGTGGGCCGGTCCTGAACCGGACCGGACCGGGCCCGTGGTCCTAACGGGCCTGGTGGGCCGGTCCTGGGTGGGCCGGTCTTGGTGGGCCTCCTGAGCNTAGATGAGGAATGGATAATGCAAAGTAGTAGTAGCATATGACTAGATGGAATTGTATGTACGAAAGTTTAGTAGTAGCATATGAATATAGAAACCCAATTA